TTTGTTAATTTTCATGGTTTCCTCCTTTCTGTTGAAATTGTCCACACCTCTCAACAAAAGATTTTCCTAGTTCCAACAGACCTCACTACCTTTGAGGATGCTTGCTATAGATGCAGGCGAAACATCAGGAGAGAATGCCTCTAGAACATGGCCATATAGCCCAAAAAAACCCTACAATAACCCACATCTTTTCTGATTTTGCCAGACTTGAGCAGGGAGATGGATGACAGGGATTCAGAGGTCTCCAATTCACCAGATCATCACGAGTCCAAAAAGTCAGCCTGAATTGCAGGTTGAGGCCACTGAACAGCATAGGATTTTGTTTGGAAACCTTCAAGGAGGCGTGCAGCAGAGATGCTTCCGAGCGAAACAAAAGAGAGAAATAGATACCTACATCTGCAATGCTGAAGACACGGTATTTGAAGACAACAGATTCCATGCTTGGGAAACCTCGCCAAACTTTGGCAAGCGTCACTTTTCTAGGCCGCACTGACAAAGGGGAGATGTTTCATGTTTTTATTATTATTCTGCTCCCTGCTCTGGATGTCTGCTCTGCTTTTTGCAGAGAGGAGAGAACATGAAAAGGCCTTGTACACAAGACCAGAGGGGCTGTGCAGCCTTCTTGGCAGAAGCACCGCTGAAAGGGGAATGCATACTTCGGTGGTGTCAAGGCGCACGTTCCTTTTAAAAGGCTTGAAAATGCTAGCTAGCATTGTGTTGCTCATCCCTGCTGCAGAACTCCAAGCGGACTCTGTCCAAAAGGAGAAGTCACGGTCATTGCTCTTCTCTATGGACAGGATGGGGAAAGATGCCCAGTGGCCTCTTGAGCCCCAGATGTTGGGGCTGATTCCATAGAATCATGGCTGGACTGGACCACAAAGGCTTCTGCAACACACCAATGTTCAAGCAAAGGATCGTGGAAATGAATAAACAACTTCCTCTGAGGTCCCTGGAGCCCGTTCCCCCCTTTCCAATACCTGCCTCCTGCCAGGATATGAATTATTCAACCTGACTGATAAGGGGAGGTTGCAAATTAATTCCACAGGTTCATTAGGGAGAGAGTTAATTTTATTCAGATTTGTTTTCTGTGCCGCAAAGAGCCCGGCTTGATGGAGAAGGCATAAGATAATCAGACTGCTCGTCAAATCTGAGGTGCCCGATGAGCAAACGCATCCGTGAGCCAATGTCTTCATTCCCAAAAGAAACTCCTTTACGCAACAGATCAAGGTGAGCACAGGAGGAGAGGAAGTCAAAGTCAAAGCCAACTCTAAGAAGGGTTTTTCTGGCCATTTGGGGCCACTCTGCTCTTGGCTTTCTCACTTAAGGCTGAAGTTTACACTAATCTTGCACAGAGCAAGTCATGACTATTTCTCCCGCACCTTAAAGCGAGGAAAGGGGAACACTGCAGAGATCGAAAACCAGGAGAATGAAAGGAGTGATGAAAAAGAGCAAATGAAGGAAACTTGGAGCAGAAGCGGCCAAAGCGATAGGAATCTCCCCTTGTGTTGTTGCTCTTGCGTCTTTTGGGAAATACAGCAGAGTCTCACTTTTCTATATAAATAAAAATGTAATGTTTGTGGGATTAACATAACCCAAAAACCACTGGGGGAATTGACACCAAATTTGGACACAAGACACATATCAGGTCAACAAGTGACCATCACTAATAAAAACACTGAAAAACACAGCAGAAGGGAATTAAAAAGCCAAAAAAGCAAAGATGCTACAGTGCATGTGCAAAAATGACCCCCCTTGGCAAACAAAACACACAAGAGCATATCCACACTCTCTTCCGGATTACAGCTCCCAGCATCCCCTAGACCAGGTGTTTAGGAGAGGAAGATGATCCAAATGCACTGCTTCCAAGCTGCAAGCTTTCTTCTCCGTGGATTTTTTAAAGAGCATCCATCCCTGCATATTTTCAATTTCCTATTCCTGGGCTGCAACTCCCAGCAATCCTCCAGATAGATAAGATAGATAGAGATAGATTGATCAGGAGGACTGCTGGGAGTTGCAGACCAAGAATAAATAGAGAAGGGAGAAAGGGGAAAGAAAAGGTGGGGGGAATGAAGGGAAAAAGAAGAGAAGAAAGGGAGAGAAAGAAAGAAAAAAAGGGAAGGAAGGAGATAAAGAATCCAAGCCAGAAGCAGCCAAGGTGTGTTGGTTAATACAGAATGTCGGATAAGTGAAGGTTGGATAAGCGAGACTCTACTATATGAGTGAACCAGAGCAGAAACCCTTCCCAAACACCCAGGTGGCTTTCAAAAACATTTCTGAGACTCACCTGAGCAAACGAGGTTCTGAAATGCTGTGCATGCGCAGGAAAATCCCATATGTGCGAATTCACAGACACCACGAAGAAGGAGCTTGGCTTGTTCTTCATCCATAACGCAATCTGCTGTATTCAGCAACGGCAGAGGATGCCACTCCAAGCTCACCAAACATTTTTTATAATCAGAAAATCCACATTCCTTATTGTGCATCAATACACCGTCATTGCTTTTACAGAGTCCGGCATCCTGACTGTGCCGTCAACCTGACAGACGGATGCCTCCGAACGGATGCTCACACAACTAGCTGAGACTAAAACCCTTTCAACTCTTTTTATTTTAAAAAAATACATTAAAGAACGTACCACACACACATATTGCACTTGTCTCCAGATTTGGGGGGGAGGAAAGAAGAAAAAAATGGTTGTTTCATCGCCCCTCCCGCACGCTCACCTCTCACCAAAGTCTCTCCAAAGGAACCTGTATTCAGAACTCATAAAGCTAGTAGTTGTTATACAGTAGTAGACACAGATCCTATCACAACGGACGCGGCAGACGCAACAGAAGCAGCTACTGCGGAGCAGCGAAAAGGCGGAAGAGGGGAAGGCAGTCCTTCGAGGGGGACCAAGGCGAGCCTGGCTTTGAGGGAGAAACCGGGGTTTGCTCTCTATTCCTGTAATAGAAGGAACACCAAATGGGCACGGCATTGGAAGGGTGGTGGAAGGGGGTTCTCGTCTAGTTTTTACATTCAGAAACAAATGAGATCCCCTCTCTGACCTTGAATGTTGCTCTGCTGCCATTTGGGCCCTTCTTCCCTGGACAAGAGCTGGGATGTTCATACGAACCTTCTCTTCTCCCAAGATGTCTGCCATGGAAGAGCATTGTCGTTGGAGATGGACGTCCTTCCATCTTCGAGTATTTGCTCTCCGCAGCCAAGTTAATACTATGGGACGCAGCCTGGGTAGGTGCTGCAAGACCAACCAGATGCATCCCGTCATCTAGGATCTATGGCTGGGAGTTGCATCAGCCCCCTAAGAAACCCTAAAAGGCTACACTCCTTCCAGATCTCTTCAAAACCTATTTCTTTTTTGCCCTATAGAGATGCATGGGGCTTTTTTGCTATGTTTCAGAGACATCCCTTGACTATTTTAGGCCCAAGAGAGACTTATTTGAGGGGGAGCAATGTTTAGTCATTTCCTATTTCAGAAGAAGGCCTCTCATGAACCCAGGATGATGCCCAAAACATGGCAAAAATATCCTCTATGCCCCTTGACTCTCACAGCCCATGAGCTATTCTTTGCCTGCTGCTGGCCTGGCAAGTATAAGCCGCGGAGCTCTGATGATCTGGGTGCAAATGATACCCCGCTGAGGACCAAAAAGGACCCAGGGGTTTTGGATTTGCAGAGTGGAACGCATCTGTAGGGCCAGCTGAACTTCCTCCCTGAGTCTGACGAATAAACAAGGTCAGCCTTTCTACTCCGCTTTAACCATGGTGACTCCGTTCTATGGAATCTCCCATCATTTCATGAGGTATGGAGAAATCTCTGCCGGGAAGCCCTGCAAGCTCCCTGCAACACAAACCCACAGTCAAAGTGGAATCGAAGTGCTAGAACCATGGGGTGCGGAAGGGTCTTGGATGGAAGTAGTGGAGGAGGAGGACTCTCAGTGGAGGGCTCAATAAGACATTCTCTGAAGAGAAGAGGGTTTGGTGCCGAGCCTGGGATAGTCTAGATCAGAGCTTCTTAAGCTGCAAGTGTAAGGGAGACACGAGTGCGAGGGAGAGAAAGAAAGTTGAGAGAGAGGGAGAAAGCAGAAAGGGAGACACTCACGAGAGAGAGAGAAGGGAAAGCAGAGAGAGAAGCCAGCAAGGGAGAGAGACACACTTGCACAGGAAATAAAGGAAGGCAACCCCAGCATACAGTTAGGTCAACCCCATTTGGGGTCTCAACTTATAGTTTTAGAAGCTCTGGTCTAGATCTGTGACTCCCAAACTTAGATCCTCCTTGGGTTTTGGACTTGATGGCCAATTATCAGGAGTTCTGGGAAATGAAGTCCAAAACATCTGATTCAGAAGTTTGGGAGTCACCGGTCTGGATAGTCCTCGTCTTGTGACATGGTGTTTCCCCTCATCTCCAGAACAGGCTCTTCTCCAATTGCTTTCCTGTCACATCTACAACCTGGAGTGGCCCAGCCCAGCCCAGCACCACCAACTGACTTCCTCCCTGGTCCGAACCAACCCTGCAAGTCCATGGTTCTTTGTGCTTAAACCAATCTGTGTTGTGCTTGATTCTTGATCTGCTCCAGAGCACCAGTGCCTTCCCTTAACACTGTCAACAGCATTTGGCGAGAGAGAGAGAGAGAGAGAGTAACAGACATCGACAGAGACTTCCTTCCGTGCAACACGGTCAAGGGACTGTCTTCTTCCTATGGATCTGTGGTCAAGAAAGGGCTTGGCAGAGCAGATTGGCTGTTGGGAGAGCGTAGCAAACCCAACAGTTATTGATATTCCTAGATATTGCTGTAATACTTCTTAACGTTTCGGATATATATATGGAGAGGAATGGCTCAGAACCACTCCAGGAAAAGGTGGAAGGTGGGCTCTAAAGGGACTTTGGCCTCAGCGCGGACACAAAACGGGGGCGTTTTTCTACTCGAGAGGAAAGAAGTTGGGCCGGGGAAAGGGTTAGTAAGAGTCTTGAAAAGAACCCAAAAGAAAAAGGCACGGCACTATCACTTCACATGGGTTTTCTGATAAGCTCGTTTTGTGTTGTCCTTAAATTGCTACATCCCTAAAGAATTGTCCAAATATACAAAGCCGAAGAAGCCACCAGCGATGCGCCTCATTCAGTCCAAGGAGAGTGGCTTCATTTGAAACAGGAGGAGAAAAGCAAGAGAGGGCAGCTTATGACGTCTCCAGAGATCCGCTTTCCTCTCCCTCTCTCCCTCCCTCCGGCCCCTTCCCCTTGTTTCTCTCGTCTCGCTGGTCTTTGGGCCGTCTCCCAAATCCATTTCAGTGCCCTGGAAGGCCTGGAATGATGGACGGACCCTGGGTGTCAACGAGGGCATGAAGATTGGCCATTTCTTGGAAAGAGTCACCAGCCAAGAGAAGAAAGCAACTATTACTCCGAGCCCGACTCAAGCAGCTCAGAGACAAATCAGTCCACATCTCCGTTCCTGATTTGCTTTAGTGTCAATCCCACACCTCTGTCCAGGTCCAAGTGGGGGAAATGTATTGCTTTTATTGCCAAGACATACGGTATGTCCCATATCTATGCTTCCACGGCAAAGAGAACACCAAAGATGCCAGATATAGTCAACATCTTCCTTCCTTTTTTCCTTCCTTGAAGTGTGTCGCCTCTTTCCCTGCAAAGGCCTTCCTCTTCCTTCCCTTGAAAGTGCAGAACTGCTCTCCTCAGCCACCCACTGCTAGTACCAATAGAGAGAAGGGTCTGTGTGTTTGTCCATTCAGGGCAAGGCCTGGGGATGAAGCCGGTACGTGTTTAAGGGAAAGGGCGCACATGGAAAACCCACCCACGTCTCTCGTCTTTCGCTTCCACCTTCTTCCGAGAACAGGCCAGCGTGGCCCCCTTTCTAGTTCACCAAAACGTAGCCGCTGTGCTGAGGGTCGACCGTCTCCATCATTTCGCAATCGAAGAGAGCAGGCAGCTCCGCCAGACCCAAAGCCTCATAGCCAGGCTGGGACCCGGGCGTTTCGGGGTTCCTCTGGGCACCGTCGCCCATTGCTACAGTGGCGCTCTGCTGGGGATACTGGTGCTGGCTGGGGTAGTCTGGCTCCGGTGCGGGGCCCACTTGTGACAAGTCGCACGGCTGGTAAGGAGGAGGAGGATAGTGCTGCTGTTGCTGCTGCTGCTGGGGTGGGGGCTGCTGCATGGGCAGCCGGGGCGCGCCGTGGATGGGGGGCGAGGGAGGCTGGTGGTCCAGCGGCTGCAGCTTGGCATACTGGCTGAGGAAAGGGTCGTATTGCATTTGTTCCATGGAGGGCTCCAGGAGGGGACCCAGGGGCTGCGGCGCCAGGCTGAAAGGGGCCGGAGCCGGGGCCGGCGGGTCCTCGGGGCAAGGCAGCGGCATCTGGCTGGGCCCCGGGTAGGAACTCTCCGCTATCTGCATCTGGTTGAAGTAGGCTTGCAGCTGGGACTGCTTCTGCAGGAACAGGCGCTTCTGGTGGAGCCTGAGCAGGGAGAGAGACCCAGAAATCTACAAGCCACCACTCCACCTTCCCCATAACAACTCTGCCCCCCTCTGCATGCAAGTGGGGTGCAAAGGGATTTTCTGTCTGATTTGATGCTGTCAGCTAAGCCTGAGCTGAACCCTGTGCCAGCCCTTTTGGAATAGGTCTTCTCTTCCCCTTCCTTCCTTCCTTCCTTCCTTCCTTCCTTCCTTCCTTCCTTCCTTCCTTCCTTCCTTCCTTCCTTCCTTCCTTCCTTCCTTCCTTCCTTCCTTCCAAGCGGAGGCACAAAAGAGCAGCTGGAAGTGTCTCAGGGCAGATTAAACATTCCTTCATCTGCACATCTGGATTGTGTCAGCCTGTCCTGTTCCTGCTTCCCCGCTTGGAAGCTCCCCCCATTCCCCACAAGGGATGTTCCTCCCACCGGCCCAAGGGATGGCCGTCCTAATCCAAGGGATCAAAGTAAAGGAGTTGTATTTGGAGCAGAGGAGGTGGGCAGGCCTGGTCTATGAATACCAATGGCATGTACTATCAATGAAAGACAGTCTTGGCCCATGAGTCTGCCTGCCTAACTGACTGCCTGGGCTACCTGGCCTGCCGCTTACTGCCACTGGTGTTTTGTTGTTCTTGGGTGCTCTTGGGTGGAACTCAACCCCATCCTGCACAAGGCTGTAGTCCTCATCTCAAGGACTTAGAGAGCCAGATGAGTCAGGTCCCTTCCACACAGCTGAATAATATCCCATGTTATCTGCTTTGAACTGGGTTATATGGCAGTGTGGACCCACATATTCCAGTTCACAGAATATGAAGAAAAGAGGAATAAAATGGAGGACTCAGGGGCTTGCCATGTGCTCAGAAAAGGTAATAAAAAAAGAGAATAGAGTGACAGGCAGGCAAACAAGCCCATGAGAGAAGAAGGGCTTTCCTCTTCCAGCTGAAGGCCCTTCCACACAGCCATATAACTCAGGATATCAAGGCAGGGAATCCCACAATATCTGCTTTGAACTGGGTTATATGGCAGTGTGGACTCAGATATTCCAGTTCAAAGCAGATATTGTGGGATTCCCTGCCTTGATATCCTGAGTTATATGGCTGTGTGGAAGGGCCTTCAGTTGGAAGAGGAAAGCCCTTCTTCTCTCATGGACTTGTCTGCCTGCCTGTCACTCTGTTCTCTCTTTTTATTACCTTTTCTGAGCACATGGCAAGCCCCTGAGTCCTCCGTTTTATTCCTCTTTTGTTCATCTCCTGTGAGCATGGAGAGAGACAAGATGTCTGCTGTGAGTTAGACAGATAGTGAGTCCCTGTGTTAACTTTCCTCTCTGTTTATATAACTCTTTGAATGAAGTCTTTTATAACTTTTTAAGCTCGACTCTGTCCCTATATTGCTTAAAGCTCAATTGCTCTACTGCTGGCACTAGATGCTTCTGACCTGCTGAACTGCTGCTGCTGCTACTGTTGCTGCTTTACTATGCTTTGAATGCTTTATCCTTTTTGTAAATTGCCCTAAGATGGCTCTGTTCTCTTGGCCTGACCCAAGGCTCCCTCCCGTGGCTGTGTTTCCAAGGGACCCCTTTCCCGAGACCCCCGCACCCTCTCTCTCACCTGTGCTCCTGTAACTGCTGCTCCAGGCTCCGGGGCAACTCCTTGCAAAACACCTGGCAGGCATTTTGGGCTTTGGAAAGCAGGTTGGGCTTCTGAAGCAAAGAGAGAAAGAACCGTTGCACGACGGCTGCATACAAGAGTGTGACGTCTTCCAAAAGGAGGAACAAACAGCCTTGTGGTATTTTTACGAAGCATGGACTACGGCCCATTGTATAAACCGCACAGCCTGAAAGGCACCACAATACTACATTTTCTTCTTTGTTTACACTCAAACTGCCAAACATGGCCATCATTACAACAACGGCACATACTGACGCAGAATGGAAAGGGAGAGAAAGAGAGTGGATGGCTGTTTTGTGAGGAGCCAGCGTACCTGGAGCCTGTGCTGCAAATACTGTGTTTCTAAGCTCTGCCGCCGCGAGAGCAGCTGTGGGTGCAAGCCGTTCGGGAAGGCCGAGGCAGCATCCGGTGGCTGGGAGGCCTCCTCCTTGGAAACACAGAGGAGAGAGAGAAATGGAGGAAAACAGTGAATTCCCAGCCCAGTTCCACCATCCCCAAGTCAATGTATTATCGAAGGCTTTAATGGCTGGAATCATTGGGTTGTTGTAGGTTTTTTGGGCTGTCTGGCCATGTTCTAGCAGCATTCTCTCCTGACATTTCACCTGCATCTATGGCAGGCACCCTCAGAGGTTATGAGGTCTGTTGGAAACTAGGAAAATTGGGTTTATATATCTGTGGAAAGTCCAGGGTGGGAGAAAGAACCCTTGTCTGTTGGAGGTAGGTGTGAAGAAACAATGAAAATGAACAAAATCTGGCTATCAGTATTTAAAAAAAAACTCTAAAATTATAACAGTAAATAAAGTTATAATGGAAAAAATATATTTTTTTCAAAAAAAAGTAATGGATAAAAGGTTAAGGGAAAAATATAGACAAAATAGGGGATTGGATAAAGGTTGGAATGAAGAAAGAAATGATTATGGAAGAATATAGAGAAATAAAAATTCCATTGTATACAATTAGAACAATGGTTTAAAAACTGGGTAAAAATTAATAAAAACGGAAGTAAGCTTAACCAATTTGAACAAATAATACAAAATGGAAGGGTTGTAGAGGAACATGAAAATCTGAAAGGAGTAACTAGTAAAGTATATAAGATAATAATTGAAATAAAGGAAGAAAGAACAAAAAATAACATCCTTGAGGAGGTCTGGGAAGATTTAGGGATAAAAATAAATGAAACTGAGTGGCAACAATTATGGAGACAAAGACTTCTAAAAAATTTATCAATACAGGTTAAAGAAAATTACTATAAGTTAATATGGAAATGGTACCTCACATCAGTAAGAATAGCAAATATAAATAAAAACTACTCCAAAAATTGCTGGAGAGGATGCCAAGAATCAGGAACATATACACATATGTGATGGCAATGTAAATATGTAAATAATGTTTGGGGGGAAGTATTTAGAGAAATAGAAGATATGATGAACATTAAAATAGAAAGAAGTCCTAGTATAGCTTTATTATCATTATATAATAATTGTTGCAACTCAGGGTAGTTTTCACCTTGCTCCATACACCACCACACCAAGGCTGTAGGTTTTTGTAGTTTATTGAGAAAAGCAAAATCAAAACAAAGAAATAGAAATGCAATAGTTCCATAGGCAAAACAGAGACTTAAATGTAAAGGCAAACTTCCCAAGATCCAAAGGCAAAAACATGAAGCATAATCCCTTAGCAATGGTCAAACAACAGTCCATGGTAAACAGTTGAAAACAAGACCCAAATCCCAGACTCAGGAAGCCAGAAGCACGCTGCGAAAAGCCAAGGAAAATCTCCAGAAGTTAACATGGAAGAGCAATGTTGGACTGACAACAACTGCCTGTCAGCTACAAGACTAAATACCCTTTGCGAACATGAAAGCATTGCGTTGACCTTGGGCCCCTTTGGCTTCTCGCTTGCTGGCCAAGCGAGTGCTTCTCTGAAGCCTTAATTGCAAACGATCTTGTCTGCTCATTAATTCATTATCTGCAAGGCTATGCAACCCCTTATCTGGGTCCAGCTGGGACGGATCCTCCACCTGGCCGTGTGGGATTTCACTCTCACTATCAGACTCTCTAACTGCAGGAACAGTTCCTTTCCCCGGGAAACTGACTTGTTTCTCCTTCAGCATCCACACTATCAGCCCCGTCTGAAACATGTACAGGAATCTGTAACCCATCAGCCTCCTCGTCCTCCTGCAGGAAATCAGGCTCAGAAGGCCCAAAGTCCCCAACGTCAGGCTCAGCAGGCCCAAACAGCTCAGCTTCAGACTCAGAGTCAAGCTGAGTCACAACACTAAAAAACAATTGAAAAAATAGGATAAAGATGCGATAACAAACTTATTAACAATAGCATTACTGCTTATAGCAAGGAATTGGAAAAGAGAAATAAATATACAAATAGAGGAGTGGTACAAGGAAGGATGGAAATTGGCAATAGATGATAAGCTGATGTGTATATTAAAAGTTAAAAGAGATATATGGAAACAAAGTGATTTTGATGATGTATGGAGAAAATTTATTGAAAAAGGATTAAAAAAGAAAAGGAAAGTTACGAATTGAAATTTTGGACAGATTATATGTAAAATATGTGGTTTGGGGGGGGGGAGCACAAGGGTGAGATAAAATAAATAAATAGTTTTAAAAGTAACAGTAAATAAAGAACAAAATGCAAACACAGGGGAACCCCAGACAAGAAACAGTCTGGAACAGCTAACACCTCTCAACAAAGAGAGAAAGTAGACAATTTCAACAGAAAGGAAGAAACCATGAAAATTAACAAAATGTGGACTAAAAAAATTATAATAGTAAATAAAAAACAAAACCCAAACATGGAACTACAGACAAGAAACAATCAGGAACAGCTAATCACCTCTCAACAAAGAATTCCCCCAGGCAGTAACAAGCCACACCTAAAAACTGTTAGGCCATTAAATGCTAATCAAGGTGGCCAATTGAAGCATTCATGCATACCTCCAACAGACAAGAGTTCTTTCTCTCACCACAGATATATAAATCCAATTTTCCTAGTTTCCAACAGACCTCACAACATCTGAGGATGCCGGCCATAGATGCAGGTAAAACGCCAGGAGAGAATGCTTCTGGAACATGGCCACACAGCCCGAAAAACCTACAACCCATCCCCAAGTCAATCATCTTGTCTTGAGACTGAGATTGGGAGAAACGAATAAGCCAGATCCAAAATACGACAATCCCCATACCTGCTGTGGAGCACTCCTGAGGTCCTGAAGCTGAGGGGAAGGGGCCCCCAAGGCCGTTGCGTCTTCGGTCCTCATCTGTTCGTAAAACAGCTGGACTTTATTCAGCTCCAGGATGCCTTTGGTCCGCGCCAGGTTCTGGAGGTGCTGCCGAAAGGCTACGATTCCTGGATCGGGAACATCCAAAGCGACTGTTAGGAAAGGAAGCTATGCTGGTGTCATGAAAGTAGAACCACGCTGCCAGTCCTTAAGGTGGTTTCATTACATGTATATGGGCCATATTTTCTCCCAATCACATGAAATACGTGGAGGAAAGCAGTACGCAGGTGGACAAATCACAGAAAGAGACCCCATGGGCCATCTAGTCCAATCCCCTGCCATGCAGGAAAAGCACAAAGGACCCCTGACAGATGGCCATCCAGCCTCAAGTTTCCAAGGAAGGCACTTCCATCACATTCCAAGGCAGAGAGTTTCACTGTTGGTTAGGAAATTCTTCCTAATGTTTAGGTGGAATCTCCTTTCCTGTCATTTGAACCCATTGCTCCACTGAGGCAGAGAGTTCCACTACTGAACAACTTGTATGGTTAGGAAGTTCTTCCTAACGTTTAGGTGGAATCTCCTTTCCTGTCATTTGGACCCATTGAGGCAGAGAGTTCCACTACTGAACAACTAGTATGGTTAGGAAGTTCTGCCTAACATTTAGATCCATCTCCTTTCCTGTCATTTGAACCCACTGCTCCATTGAGGCAGAGAGTTCCACTACTGAACAACTAGTATGGTTAGGAAGTTCTTCCTAATGTTTAGGTGGAATCTCCTTTCCTGTCATTTGAACCCATTGCTCCATTAAGGCAGAGAGTTCCACTACTGAACAACTCGTATGGTTAGGAAGTTCTTCGTAACATTTAGGTGGAATCTTCTTTCCTGTCATTTGAACCCATTGCTCCACTGAGGCAGAGAGTTCCACTACTGAACAACTCATATGGTTAGGAAGCCACAAACCATATCCCAAACTTCCCGCAGTGTGCCCTGAAACGGCACACTCTTCTTTGCTCAATGCCCTGCCATACCTTGTGTCAGGGACGTGTCGGATGCCCGGCGTCCCTCTCGGAAGCTGACAGGAGAGCGGTTGTGGGCCTCTCGCTTGTGGGAGGCCAGGGCCTGCATGGCAGGGTTGGCAGGTCTCAGGCCAATGAAGGGCAGTGGCGTCGGCGGCGTCATCCGAGGCGCCGGTGGATTGGTCAGGACCACTTCCTTCAAGGAGGGGCCGTCTTCCAGGAAGTTGAGGTCTCTCTGGATGGAGCCTATGTCGTACTCGGAGTCCACGCTGCTCAAGGACGGGTTCTCCTCCACAGAGAAGACCTTCCCTGCAGAAACCCAGAAAAGGGCACGCATTAAGTCAACCTGGAACAGAAGCCCTTTCTACTGATGGACAAGAGATACACTTAACATGGACTCTCAAATATTTAGGACTCTAGACCCAGATAGGGGTGCCCTCATGGCACAGTGGGTTAAACCACTGAGCTGCCGAACATGCTGACCGAAAGGTCAGTTGTTCAAATCTGGGGAGCAGATGAGCTCCTGCTGTTAGCCCCAGCTTCTGCCAACCTAGCAGTTCAAAAGGATGCAAATGTGAGATCAATAGGTACCACTCCAGCGGGAAGGTAATGGCGCTCCATGCAGTCATGCTGGCCACATGACCTTGGAGGTGTCTATGGATAACGCCGGCTCTTCGGTTTAGAATTTGAGATGATCACCACCCCCCAGAGTTGGACACAACTAGACTTAATGTCAGGGGGAAACCTTTATTATTTTTTAAGGCCCAGAGAAGAGAGGCAAGGGAAGACTGTCAGGAAAGGGAGAATTACCCCCCACAGACCTCCATCTCTAGCAAACCCAATTTGCTAGAAAATCTCATTTTCCCTCTGAAATGGCAATAGGAAGTGACACCACATTGCTTCCTGTTGCCATTCTGGGGAGGGCTGCAACAGGAATGGACATATTGAGGGAAAATTGAAAGAAAAATTGAGATGCTTGGGGTTGCCAGAAATGGGGGGGGGTCTATGGGGGGTAATTGTCCCTTTCCCGACAGTCTTCCATTGCCTCTCTATCTGGGCCTAAAAAACTAAAGGTTTCCCCTTGACATTAAGTCTAGTTGTGTCCGACTCTGGGACTCTGGTGCTCATCTCCACTTCTAAGCCAAAGAGCCGGTGTTGTACATAGACACCTCCAAGGTCATGTGGCCAGCAAAACTGCATGGAACAGTTACCTTCCTGCTGGAGTGGTACCTACTGATCTACTCACATTTGCATGTTTTCGAACGGCTAGGATGGCAGAAGCTGGGGCTGACAGCGAGAGCTCACCCCGCTCCTCAGATTTGAACCACCAACCTTTTGGTCAGCAAGTTCAGCAGCTCAGCGGTTTAACCCGCTGAACCACCGGGGGCTCCAAATGTAGTGTAGGTCCTTCCTTATGTTTCCATGTATTCTGTATGAGTTTAGGTACACCAACATCTTCAAATGGGGAAGATTGAAGGGACTGTGTTGGGGGCCCTGCAAATTTGGGATCCTAGGAAGCTCTCCTATGGCCTAGAGACACTTCTCCTCCAACCAAGAGCCAAAGGGATCGAGTTCAAACATCTAAAAGGCACACAGGGCAAAGCGACAGGCTTCCTTTGTTGCTTTACGGCTGTCAACATCTCAGGGAGGAGGCCTGTTCAACCACTATTTTGGCAGAACACCGCTTGCCATGTCACCGCGCTGGATTTTGTTTATTTCCACTTCAGGGCCAGGAATTCCCCCTGCAGATCCAGAGTGCAAAAACGGGACGCTATCTCCGAGAAGCAAGACGTTTCCCAGGTCAGACGAGGACACGGCCGCCCCTTTCCTATTTGACAAGAGAGACCTTTTCTTCTCGGAGGGGCTTTTCCACTTCCTTTTTTCCATCCCTGTTAAGCCCTCGATTAGCTGACGGCTGGTCTGTTTGCTCTTCCCAGTCTTTGCTGCCATGAGACCGCTTGGCAAAACAAGCAGAAGCCATCTGTACATTGGCTCCCCCCTCTTATCTCCCTGCAAAGCACACTCATTGTTGGTTCGGAGGTAATAAAAACACACAGAGGACTTCTCTTTGTCGGCGGCGACGTTTCAGCAGGATGTCAAGCGGAGCCGAGTCTGCAAATCCACTCCGGCCTCTTCCCTTGAAACATTCGCTTCCTGAATTTGCAGCAAAGACAGACATTTCTTGGGTGGCTCCTCTCAGAAATGCATGGGGGTTCTCAAAAACTTTTTTGCTTGGACTTCAACTCCCACAAGCTGTTAGGAATTGTGGGAGTTGAAGTCCAAAACACCTGGAGGGCTGAAGTTTGCCCAGGACTGGTCTAAAAGAATCACTACTTGTTCCATCTGGACTTTATGAATCCATAGGTCAGATGAAATCTCATGATTTTGGTCACCAAACCTGTCCTTTGGGGTCGACTTATACAGGAGTATATGTCAGAAATATTAAAAATTAACTAGGTATATGAGTCAAGCACAAAGGGTTAAATATACACAATGATTGAGCAAAAGCTGCAGTTCTATATAAGCAGGTGTACATGTAGCTTAGTAGCCCTCAGTAGGTGAGAGGTCTCTGTGGGAGAAGGGCCTCAGTGTGCTGGTAGGCCTCAGTACGAGAAGGCCTCAGTGTTGGTTTGCTTCAGTGTGAGAGAAACATCAGTCTGAGAGACCCTTCACTGTGAGAAGGCCTCAGTGTTACTAGGCCTCAGTGTTAGTTTGCCTCAGTGTGAGAGAGGCATCTGTCTGAGAGAGCCCTCACTGTGAGAAGGCCTCAGTGTGAGGTCGGCCTCAGTGTTACTAGGCCTGAGTGTTAGTTCACCTCAGTGTGAGAGAGGCATCGGTCTGAGAGAGCCCTCACTGTGAGAAGGCCTCAGTGTTACGAGGCCTCAGTGTTACTTCGTCTCAGTGTGAGAGAGCCATCGGTCTGAGAGAGCCCTCACTGTGAGAAGGCCTCAGTGTGAGGTCAGCCTCAGTGTTACTAGGCCTCAGTGTTAGTTTGCCTCAGTGTGAGAGAGACATCAGTCTGAGAGACCCCTCACTGTAAGAAAGCCGCAGTGTGAGGTTGGCCTCAGTGTTACTAGGCCTCAGTGTTAGTTTGCCTCAGTGTGAGAGAAGCATCAGTCTGAGAGACCCTTCATTGTGAGAAGGCCTCAGTGTGAGGTCGGCCTTAGTGTTACTAGGCCTCAGTGTTAGTTCGCCTCAGTCTGAGAGAGACATTGGTCTGAGAGAGCCCTCACTGTGAGAAGGCCTCAGTGTTAGTAGGCCTCAGTATGAGAAGGTCTGGTGTGAGAAGCTTTGGTGAGAGGAAGCCCCAGGTTGAAGGTCTTGTATATAAAGCTATTATGTGAAGCTCCAATGTGAAGGCTGCTGTGTGTAAAAAGCTACTGTGTAAAGCTCCTGTGTAACTGGTCTTGAGAGGAGGCTCTGTGAGAGTGAAGCTGTCTATCTGCATGGGAAAGAATCCCAGCGTGGAAGCAAAGAAGGAAGTATAAAGAACTTTATTTGTGTTATGGAAACATAGTTCTTGTAAATAGTGCAACTATATTATTTTACTACAAAGAAAACCCTCCTAAGGAAGAGATAACATTGGTCTGTGTGTTTTTGTTCTTTTTATCACTTTGAACTACTGGTGCTGGGTCACACTGCTGCTAAGTTATTCTGGTATACATTCATGGAGAGGATCTTTCGTTAATAAGCCCACTCGCCCAACAGTATATATGGTGACGAAGACAACTTGAGAATTCCTCCCTTGTCTTAAGGTTGTCTCCCTCCAATCAACCAGCTCCAGCTCCAAACGTGCCCGTGCTGCCCCTTCCTTACCTGTGCCCGGCATGACCATCAGCTGGTTGGTGACCTCTGCCAGAGTGTGCCTTCTCTTCCCACAGCGAGTGGCTTGCAGGGCAGCAAAGGCTTGGGCCGGGTCTTCCTCCGACTCCCCTTCCGTCTCGATCCCTTCGTCGATGGAGGTCTCCATCATGCTGCTCGGCAGGGACTGGCAGCCCTTCCTGACCATCATCGGGGGCACTGGGTCCAGCAGGCAGCCGTTCACCTGATGCCACGATGAGCGGGGAGGGAAACAGACCAGGCTCAGTGAAGCAGCAAACAAAGATGGACTCTGACATTTGGGATCTCCATAAATGGAGTGAGAAGCAGAAACATTTGAGAATGGAGCAGAGGCAGCCTGCCACAAACCGTGGGTCTGGCTCTTGAAAAGTCAAGAGTGGAGCTGGCGAGGCAGAGCAGAAACAGGTATCCATGAAGTGACCTTTGCAGAAAGCAGGCTGCAGACCCCTCTCTAAAATATCACCCTCGTCCTTTTCTGAGAGATTTCAGTCCAGCTGCTTCTCTTCATTCTCTCTTGGATTTGTGCATCACCCACACTCCATGAAAATAATAATAGAATCCCAGCTTATCCAGTGCCACCTCATTAAATAATGATAATTTGTACACGCCGCATTATCATGGGGTGTCTGCGCCCTACACCACTGGAGAAATTACACTGCTTAGTCGGTATTGCACCACCTGACATCCGCCGGGAAGTAGCAGCCAATAGTGAAAGGACCAAGGCAGAGACATCTCCAGCTCATCCCCTGTTTGGGTATCAGCCAGCACGTCAAGGACTTAAATCAAGAAATAGTTTTCTAAGATCTACAGAGACACTCGCTGGAACACCTCAGCAAGCGAGAGTCCAAAAGTGGCAGGCTCAAACCCAGAACCTCAACCAATGGCTGATACCAAATGAGAAACTCCCCCCTGGGCACACAGAGGACTGGGCGACTTGGAAGGCGCTGAACAGACTGCGCTTTGGCACCACAAGATGCAGAGCCAACCTTCAAGAAATGGGGCCACAAAGTGGAATCCTCGACATGCGAGTGTGGAGAAGAGCAAACCACTGACCACCTGCTGCAATGCAACCTGAGCCCTGCCACATGCACAGTGGAGGACCTTTTTGCGGCAACACCAGAGGCACTCCAAGTGGCCAGATACAGGTCAAAGGACATTTAATCAACTACCAAGCTTGCAAACTCTGTTTTGTCCGTTTGTTAAAAATTTGTTTAAAATGTAATAGAATTGTCTGGTTGATACTGACACGATAAATAAATAACCTGGTTCTTGACTGTACAATTAAATGGGAAAGAACCCCACCTCAAAGGGGCTTCCTGGGATGTCCCTACTGACTGACGCTTTCCCCGATGTACCTCGACTTCAGAATCGTCATTCTATTATTATTTTCATGGAGTGTGGTTGATGCACAAGTACGAGGGAGAGAATGAAGAGAAGCCACTGGGCTGATATCTCTCATCTCCTTGAAAAACGGGTTCAAAATGTGCTGCCGGATGATGTCCCTCCCGCAAAAGCAAAGTTTTTGAAGTTTAGTAAACTTTCCCCATGTTTTTATGATAGAACCAATTAGGAAATGACATTTCTAACCCAGGAACAAAACATCGTGTTACAAAGTGTTATAGTAATCGCTATGTTTATTGTACTGTGCCAATTGTGTTTGATTTTATGTTATGTCAATTTGTTTGGTTTACTTTATTTTGCTATTTTATTTATTTTATTCTGATGTGATTTTGTTGTCTATATTTTGTATTTTATTTTGATGTATTGTATCTTCGGGCTTGGCCTCATGTTAGCTGCCCCGAGTCCCCCTCGGGGAGATGGTGGCGGGGTATAAATAAAGATTATTATTATTATTATTATTATTATAATTATCATCATCATCATCATCATCATCATCATCATCATCATCATCATCATCATCATCATCATCATCATGGTCGTGGTGTTAGTGTTTAATGTTTACTGCTAGTCTTTTATTGCTTATTGTTTTGTTTTATGAGTTTATTTATTGTTGTATTTGTTATGCTGTTGTTTTATTGATGTGTTGGGCCTCGGCCTCTTGTAAGCCACACCAAGTCCTTCGGGAGATGTTAGCGGGGTATAAATAAAGGTTTATTATTATTATTATTATTAAAGTCAATCTCGATTCTCTGCATGTTTCACTAACACAATGTTTTTGATGGCGTACTAACTAGCAAGTCAAAGGATCAAGGCTCTGGAGAACATGCCCTATGAGGAGTGGCTTCAAGAGTTGTGCATGTTTAGCCTGAAGAAGAGAAAACTGAGAGGAGACATGATAGCCATGTATAAATATATGAGAGGAAGTCATAGGGAGGGGGGAGCAAGCTTGTTTTCCGCTGCCCTGGAGATTGAGACGCGATAGAACAATGACTTCAAATTACAGGAAAGGAAGGAGATTCCACCTGAACATGAGGAAAAACTTCCTGACTGTTCAGCAGTGGAACTCTCTGTCCCAGAGTGTGCTGGAGGCACCTTCTTTGGAGGCTTTTATTTATTATATTTATATATTATATATAAATATAATAAATAATATATATATAATATATATAATAATAATATATTTTTATTATTATTTATTTATTATATTTATATATTATACAGTATTTCTATGCTGCCTTTCTCAGTTCGAAGGCAACTCAAGGCAGCTTACAAAATGGCAGCAATGTGATGCCACAACAAGCAGAGACTGGATGGCCATCTTTCAGGGTGCTTTGAATGCAATTTTCCTGTTTCTTGGCAGAATGGGTTGGACTGGATGGCCCATGAGGTCTCTTCCAACTCTAGGATTCTGTTGTTCTATGACTGCAACACAGAAGTGAGCAGGCAACTGAACTGCACAGATTACTGTCAACTGAAAGAAATGGCATATGCTTTCTCTTGGAGACCAAAAAATGGGGTGCAAATGGCAGGGAATCCTTCTCTCTGATCCGCTGAAGGTGCTCCTGTCCAGCCAGGATCACGTGGAAACCCATGTCCCAGGTGTGTGCAGTGCCGAAAGCAAACAGTCCTCTTGGCCGGCGGACGGGTGACCGACCTTGCTACTCTTGACTAATTCCCAGCCGTTTTGGCCGCTGTTCCCAAATTCCCCCAGAAATCTGTCCCACGGGATCAGCTTCAAAATTAGTTAATTGCAGAGCGGCTGAGGCCAGGCCAAGGACCCGGTAGTCTATGGGTTTGTGCCGATTTCTAAAAGCTTTTCTGCCTTTAGCGACTGTGGCATCAAGCGAAAGAGGGTTCGGTTTTGGGGGAGATGATGGCAACCTCCCCTCCAAAGGCAACTATCCCTTCTAAAGCTGAAAAGGGAGGTCATGCTAGAGGTCTCAGCACAGAGGGGAAAGACAATCAGCTCCCTGAAGCTCAGCTTTGATCTTTCCGGCAATGTGGCCTCAAACCAGAGTGACAGAGTGAAGATGACTCCTGCAAAGCATGAAAGCAAAAACGCCCGTGGTTTTAATCTATACTTTTGGGCGAAGAAGCCACCAGCACGTTCGTCACTAGGTTTGCTACAACTACTCTAGAAATACTGGTTGGACCCGTCTGGGGATTGCTCTGGGTGCAAGTGGAAGCCGTTCCTCCATTCTGTCTTGTGATCAAACAATCTTTCTCAACCTTCCTAATGCCGCGACCCCTTAATGCAGTTCCTCAATGTTGTGGTGACCCTCAACCATCACATTATCTTTGTTGCTACTTCATCGTTTCATTTTGCTCCTGTTATGAATCATACTGTTATGAATCCATGCAGTCATGCCAGCCACATGACCTTGGAGGTGTCTATGGACAACGCCGGCTCTTCGGCTTAGAAATGGAGATGAGCACCACACCCCAGAGTCGGACACAACTGGACTGAATGTCAGGGGACAACCTTTACCTATGAATCATCATGTAAATGTCTGGCATGTATTTTCATTCTCTGGACCAAATTGGGCACAAATACCCATTACGCTCAAATTTGAATACTGATGGGATTGGGGAAGAGATTTATCTTTACATTTGAGAGTTGAAGTTGCTGGGATTTATAGTTCTCACTCAAGAGAGCATTCTGAACTCCACCAATGAAGAAACTGAACCAAACTTGGCACACAGAACTCCCATGACCAACAGAAAATACTGGAAGGGTTTGGTGGGCATTGACCTTGAGTTTTGGAGTTGTACTTCAGCTACATCCAGAGATGACTGGACTCAAACAATGATGGATCTGGACCAAACTTGGCATGAATACTCAGTATGCTCAAATGTGAACATTGGTGGAGTTTGGGGGGAAATAGACCTTGACATATAGGAGTTGCAGTTGCTGGGATTTATAGTTGACTTACAATCAAAGATCATTCTGAACTTCACCAACAATGAAATTGAACCAGAACTCCCATGACTAAAAGAGATACTGGAAGGGTTTGGTGGGCATTGACCTTGAGTTTTGGAGTTGTAGTTCACCTACATCCAGAGACGACTGTGAACTCAAACAATAATGGATCTGGACCAAACGTGGCACGGATAATCAAAATGCCCAAATGTGAACACTGGTGAAGTTTGGGGAAAATACACCTTGACATTTGGGAGTTGTGGTTGCTGGGATTTATAGTTCACCTACAATCGGAGAGCATTCTGAAACCCAAGACAAGGAACTGTATTAAAGGGTCGCGGCATTAGGAAGGTTGGGAAACACTGTCTTCAAAGGAAACCCCAAACTAATACACAGTAGACTAGTTTGGGCTGAAGGCAGCAATCGTATTGGCTGGGCCTACATCTGCCTTGGACCAGGGAAGGACTCCACTTTGATAAGGGCTAAATCCTTTATTTCACTACCTCCCGCTACACTGATGGTTCTCGTAGCCGAAAGACACCTGTGATATGCAATACCTGTCCCTAAAGCCTTTCCAATGGAAGGCCAGCCTGAGCAGATGGCATGTGTTATATAGACATGCCTTCCCCGTGAGAGGAGAAAAGCTGCAGGGTCCCTTCATCCAGATTTGGAGCGGCGAGTCCGTACATGCAAAGACTCCTCCGGGGAAAGCTGAAGGCTGGTTTGCCGTAAGACCCGGGCACAGAGCCAACGAACACAGGCTCCATGGCGATGACCGGGAGGGATACGGGAAGCGGCGTCATGCCCCGCTTGCGAGATGGGATTTGACAGCCGAGCGCAGGAGAAAAACAGCTTTAGGGCAACTCCACCTGTAGAAGCGGATT